AGTGAAGGAGATACATGCGGAGGCTGGATTCGAATTATGCCAGTTTTCATCCAGCTCACCCATTGTGAAAGCGGCATTGGGACCACCTGGACAAGTCAAGAGCGTCGGATGGGGTGAGGCTTAACAGAAGATCCTTGGAATGCGCTGGCAGGTAGCAACGGATGACTTCAGATTAAACGTGGACTATCATCGAGTGCCAAAAAGCGTTTTAAGTGGGGATCAAGTCCCTACAAAGAGGGAGTATTTGAGCCTGCTGATGCCAAAGTTCGACCCAATGGGATTCCTGTGCTGCCTGATGTTTACAGCGAAGCTATTGATGCGGGAGAGTCTTCTGATAGAGGCGGAGAGTATAGTCAACTCGCATCCACTCACCCTCTTGCCGGTGGATGCGGACCAAGAGGCGCCGTGACGCCAAACGACCTGCTCAAGGAGCAGCTAACCTGCCGGATACGCCTGGATTGGTTTCGGAGCTGACCAAGGAGGGTGCAGTGGAGGATTGCTCGCATGCTGCGAGACCGTTTCTGGAATAGGTGGGTCAGTCCAACCTGCCTACGCTTGTGCGCCGCGAGAAATGGTGCCGGAGAACGTAGCCCATCCGCCAGGGCGATATGGTCTTCGCCTGCGATCCTGCCTTGCCCAGACGAGAGTGGCGCAAGGACATCGTGGAGGAGGTCTAAAGCGGAGCTGAAAGAGCCTATCTCGGACAATGTTGCGGCCCGTCTCTAAACTTGCAGTTTTGGATTTGAGTGAAGCGGTTCTTCACGGGGTTGGGGATGTCGACGGTCGAACATTGTAATCGATAGGTAGAATCAGTATTGGTAGGAATATGTAGTATTTCTTAAGTTATCCGATCTTGTGTGGATTTCTTGGCCCTTTGAAGTACGGGCCTACTGATCTCGGTAATGTGGATGCCGCCGAAAAAATGCCTTTTCACTTTCTTGTGAATTGTAGGAAAGCACACTGCGGTAAGATTAAGATTCTGTAATGTGAGGCTAATTTAAGCAATTTCAGAATAAAACGCTCGCCACAGCCACGACCATAGGCCCTTAAAGTTACACCCTTTCTTTTGGACCTACGCGTGTGGGAAACCCTTAAAGGCAACTCCATATAAGGCAAGACATGAGTGATGCGCGAGAGGGCATTAAGAGGGCCCACGCCTTATCTATTCAGCAAACATTCACCAACAGCCATTGACTTTGCGGTCTACAGACGAATACGCACGGAGTGTGTCTCCATTTCAGAGTTTCTTGATCTGCGCTCTGATCACATCCCTTTAATCATCGCTTTAAGAGTGGCTGGGCAAAGAAATAACCGACGACCTCGCATTTTTTTCTCGAAATGCAAGCGTTCCACGGATTCAAGCAGTAATTAATAGACTTGTTAACCTTAATATTGTATTGAGCACTCCTAATGATATCAACGATGGTGTTGAAACATTTATTTCAAATCCATATCCATATCGCTGCTGAATCATTAACCCGCGGACAAGCCTGCAACCCTTCCAATCCCCCTCAGGCTCTTTTAAAATCTGAAGCTATGGACTTGGTAATATATATATGAGGTTCCAGGATCCAGTCGACAAAAGAGAAAACTAAAACCACCGCCTGTCAGAAGAATTCACATAATGAAAACTGACGGCACATGGTGCAAATCTGACTCAGAGATTTCATTAGTTTTTGCTGACGAGCTAGAGAAACGATTTCAGCCATTTAACGTTACGATCCCTAAGGATGTCGCAGATACACTGCCCTTCCTAACGCTCTTTCTACGGATGCAGTCCGCATTCAGCACATAAGACCACATGAGAATAGCCCCCTCATTCAGAAGCTGCATTTTAGCAAGGCGCCAGGATTCGATGGTAGCAGGGTTACTAAGGCTTTGTCTATAAATGGAGTCCTGTTTCCTTTTTAACTCAATGTTACGTATCCATCACTTCCCCTCCCAATGGAAATGTTTTGTAATAACAATGATACCAAGCCCAGGGAAACCGGAGAACATTGTCGATTCATGCAGGCTGACACTACCTACATTCTCTAAAATATTCGAGAGATTGTTTCATAGTAGGATTATAGGAGTAAGACGTCATTAGGACGCCAATCCCGACCACCAGTTTGGCTTTAGGTATAAACATGGGATGCCTTAGCAAGTTCATCGAGTTGTTCACCAAATATTTAATGACTTTGAGAATAAGCCATATAGCTTTCTCGACGGCTTGCTGTATAAGCTGAAATCTTTTCTTCCGACTGGCCCATTCCTCTGACTTAAGTCATATTTACTTGATCGAAGTTTTATGGTTGATGTAAGAGGGATGAGGTCACCGTCAAGCGTAAGAACTGCTCGCGCTGGAGTTCCACAGAGAAGTGTCATGGGTCCCGTACTGTACAACCTGTTCGCTTCAGATCTGCCACGTCTAAATCAACCAAACGCACTCTTGGCCACCTACGCCGATGACGCTACGATTCTTGTGAACAAGCACGAAGCATCAAGAATCACCCAGGAATTTCTGCTCTTATACGGCAAGGGGACTACAGGAGGAACATGGAAGGAAGGAATAGAAGGAAGTCACAGCTCTGCAGTTTTAGTTGGAGGGTGCAGTCCCTTCCTGTAAGTTAGAAATTTTTGGGTATTTGCATAAAAACATCAATATAAAGGCTTTCTCCCTCCTATGTTGGTATAAGTGCTTATACTTATTGCGATCGTTGTAATGGTCGTTTATAGCAATCGTTCCTTAAATTGGTTTGAGGGTTGCCGGGTCACTTGTATGTCATTCTCAAAACTACTTTCTGCTGAATTCCGAGTATTTTGATCTGAATTCTATTCATTACTTTAAGTTGGGTTGTTGATTTGTATACTTGATAAAGCATCAGCAACAACGTTTGTAGCATCTGGCTTATAAATAATTTTTGGTGAATAACTTTCGATGAAAGAGTACCAATCTTTAATTTCAATATTCGGAATTTTAATATATAAATCATTTCGTAAATTAAAAGCGAACTATGGCTAATAATTTCGTCCTATTGGTTGCCTATAAGTGTTCGGCCTTGGTTGGTGCTGCTATTGAAACTCGACACAGGTTTTTATCCGGCCACGCCCACTTCAACACCCACAGCCGCGGAAAACTGTGGCGTCCATAAAATTATAGTGTATGTCTTTGGTTGACTTCGTATAACATATTTTTGACACTATCTATCGATATACCAATGATTTTTTAAATCGAATCTTTATATCGCTATTTATAAAGAAATGTAGGTTATAAGGCCTCACATGAGTAAGAGTACTAAACTTGATTTTTTGGTTAAAAAGCTGTGAGTACATTTTTTTGAAAAAGCCTTGCTGAGACTAAATAAAAGATCCTAAATTAAAAGATCCTAATGATTGTATTTGTTGAGACACTCACGGTCTAGAGAATTCTTCTGCGTGGCTATGTTGAGCATTCCCAATTCTCTTGATGTCCAAGACCATCAAGGTACTACAGCGCTGCGTTGGTACGCATGGTCCTTCGCACGATACACATCTACGAGCATCCCCTTTGTCCATGAATTCCGCTTGCTCGCCTCGTCGACGATAGGATCTACGTCATACACTGATATTTGAGCTGGGTTCTGTTGAACTTAGTACGTCAGGGTTGGCAAATATTCTCGAATCAATTTTTTCTACAATCTATCTGCCAGCTGACCAGCGATTCGGAAATTGGTGGCTATTCCACTATAGATGCCAACCAAGAAGTAATTCGGTGTTATTGCTTACGAAATTTCAGATTCCAATGGAATGTATGTCAATGCTCTGGAATTTAAAGTAGATAGAAAATAGACATTCGAATACTCAACACTTGGCGTTTGGTGTGCATGTCGGATGATGACCTTTGATGTAACTCAAGCTTGATAACATATCCGAATCGAATAGACACTTGGCAAATGGGGTTTGGGGTGCGTGTCGGATGATGATCTTTCCAGTAACTCAAGCTTGATAACGTATCCGAATCGAATAGACACCACATTCCCAAAACCTTTTCCTGTAGTTCCTCTTGTGCGGCAAGATATTTGGGTGGGGTTTCATAAAAGTAATTTAGAAATTGGATGCCGATAACCTGTTTCTCATTTCGAAACCTCCGTGCGCTTGAATGCCCTTAACGCTCCTTTCTAGTTGAACCATTTGTCAACTGACTCCAAACAATCGTCAACAAAGGTCTTTCGGCAAATCGACTATACTGCTTTAGGATGGCATTCTAGACGTGGAGAAACATTGATGTTCACGGACATCGATTTTTTCGATGTTTTTGCCGAAAGAAACATCGATGTTTTAAATAAAAAAAAAATGTGCAGTTATTTTAATGTATTTGAACTTTATTTTAATTTGTAATGTTTAAAAATTAAAAGTCAAATTTTCAACAAAAATTATCCAATCATTTATTAAATAAAAACTTATTAATAATAATTTAAATAAAACTGTTCATGATATTCATGTTCTACATCTTTGGTATATTGTCATATTCTTAGTTTGTAAATAATAACAAAAAAAAAACCAAATTTTATATCAATATTTCAATATATACATGGTCCAAAGAAAATAATAGTACTTTTGGATATTGTGATATTCCTACTATACTTACTATTCCAAACTGTACTATATATATATATTTGCATATAATTTACATCTTTGTTTTTGTTTAAAAAGAGGAGATTATCGACAACGGTCGATGATAGCCGTGTGCGACGTTCACTTATAAGTTGTCCAGCTTTACTGCCTCAATGTGCCTCAGAAAAGGAAAAACATCGATGTTCCTCCGGTAAACATCGATGTTGCCGATGTTTCGAAAACATCGATTTTCGCATCGATGTTTCTCCACCTCTATTCACCAAATCGCTCTGCATTGCGTCTCACTATAAAGCTAGAAAGTAACGGCGAACATGCGGCGCCAAAGGTCATCACGAATGTGTCTGGTCAACTTCTCCACATCGCCATAAGAACTTCTGAGAAGCTTGATCAGGAACGCGAACTTTAATCTAATGAAGGGTCGATCTCTTAAGCGTATAAGCACTCCCAGCAAGGACACCAACATATCCAGTCCTATTAAAAATGTTGTATTCATTGAAATGCTGTACCACCTCAATCTGCAACGTACAGCGGTAAGATCATTATCAATGCTTTGCAATTGGAGATTTAAATTACTCACAGTGTGTACTCCCTTCAGCGTATATTAATTTTCTGTGCGGCTCCTAGCAGAAATACGGGCACAGACTATTTTTGGATGCCGTCTTTGAATACCGTTCATTTCTCTCCAACCATAGTAGCACACATAGCTTTGCGAAATAACCAATTAACAAAGGTGACCACATTTCCGCCGCCAGCTGCCTAGCTATGTTTGCCTCAATCAATCAATGAACATCAGTTCGTGTCCTTTAAGGCATTTATAAAGTTTGGCTCTGAACCTGAACCTGCTTGAAGTGAATTGTTAATAAATGCTTATAAAAAACCAGTCGTCGGGCTCGTGATAAAACCTGATGTGAATCAATATGAGCTGGAGTCCTGCTTGTGGCTGCTACGCGCTGGTAAACAGCGGCATATAGTTATTTCCTCCAACATTATAAATCCAAATCCATTGTTTGGTAGACAAACGCCAGCTGCACTGTTTTGAGGTACAAGTCGTGGTACATTGGACTACGGCACAAATCCGGCACATTACTTGGTGAAACGTAAGCCGCCCTTTCATTAGTCGTATCGAATTGAGTTCCGTTGTTTCCCTAAAGATTCGAATAGGAAAAGACAGGAATCCAGGTGCAGCTTGGGTCCCGTTTCGCGTTGTGCACGCGTTTTGCCTGTGTTTTGTCTTGTGAACGGTTATCCAGCGTCACCATGATTCTGCAAAGTAGTGCAACAGGCATATTTAATCGGTGTGCAAACTGAGGTGGACCATAGTTTGTCCTGAAATTGTTTCAGCCTTAAATCTTCTGGACGCCTCAGTGAAACTGTAAGTCTGTTAGCACTGCTGTTACAAAAGTTTCAACCAAAAACAAATACCCACATGCATATAAAAATAAAGTGTTGCTTACCGCAGTAGTTTCATAAGGCAAATATGTTTGCTGTCAAATGGGAACAGTTTATACAAAACAATTCAATTTAATTTTTATACCCGTTACTCGTAGAGTAAAAGGATATACTGGATTCGTTGAAAAGTATATAACAGATAGAAGAATCGTAGTTTCCGACGATTGAGTCATGTCCGTCTGTCCGTCCATCCGTCCGTATGAACGCTGAGATCTCAGGAGCTATAAGAGATACACAGTTGAGATTAAGCATGAAGATTATTGAGGTCTCTACGACGCGCAAGTTTATTTAAGCATCCTGCCACTCCTACTCTAACGCATAAAAATCAAAAAAACTAAAGTCGCTAAATCGCAGGAACTTTTAGAGCTAGAATGTTTAGATTAAGTATGTATAATCTTGAGATGCCAGCACATCTTATGCAAGCTCGAAAGTCGGTTTTCGAATTTTGTAGGAAAAGTGGTATATCGGTAACCATAAAGTGATAGAATGTTCGCACTAATCATGTGGGTTTTTATGGTGCCTCTTTTTCAAATTGTTTTTGCCTATCTCGGCACGCCCACTCTAACGCCTACAAAACCCAGAAAACCTAAAGTGAGAAAATCTACGGAACTATAAGAACTAGAAAGTTAGGCTTGGGAGTACATATTTTTGAGATCTCACTGCATATCGACGCGAGTTTTTATCTAACGCACAAGCCGCGGAAAACTGTGGCGTCCATAATATTATACTGAATGTCTTCGCTTGACCTTGTATGAAATTTTTATACCCGTTACTCGTAGAGTAAAAGGGTATATTAGATTCGTTGAAAAGTATGTTACAGGTAAAATGAAGCGTTTCCGACCATATAAAGTATACATATTCTTGAGCAGGATGAATAGCAAAGACGAACGAGCCATGTCCGTTTGTCTGTCCGTCTATTCGTCTGTCCGTATGAACGCTGACATCTCAGGAACTATAAGAGTTACGAAGTTGAGATTGATTACAGTTTTTAATTTTTGTGGAAAAGCTGAGATCTCGGTTACAATAAGTGATAGAAAGTTGGGATTCTAAATAAATAAAATACTAGATCAAAATTCTGAGTTTAAGCTTGAGTTGTGCGACCGCCAATTTTGGAAATAATATATTAAAGTAAACAGTAAATTATGTTGAAACCAAAACCAAAGGATCGATTATATCGATGTCTAAATCAGTTTTTTTCCAGCTCTAGTTGTGTAGATATCCGCCATCCAGCAATTGTGGAAAATAACATATGTATGTACATATGTATATTGCGCTAGTTTCAGTAAGAACAAATGTTTATTTTTCAGAAAGATGTTTATGCTGTCAACCAGGGTACATGCGATGCGTAATAGCCGTTTATTCGTTGGATTTTGCAATGGTAAAATTTCGCTTGGTAAATACAATATATGTATATATTTACATATGTATGTATATACATAAATATTTATACCTACATATGTATGTCAATATTTTGATTAAATTCATAATTCAGAAGTACTTATCAACCTTATATTGTTATGGGAATTGACATAGATATGTACATTTTTTGATTTTAAAAAATCGAACTTTTGTCTTGTATGTCAATTCCCATGACAATATAAGGTTGTTATGTACGTACATACCAGAGAACGTCAAGGGTGTCTTTTTTCGGCACCCGAATCACACTTTTACATTTTGAGTGTTTGTCGCACTCACAAACAGCAAGAAAAGAGCAACACACCCGAACGCACAGATCGCTCCGGGTGTTTTGTGTATTTGCTTTTTGTCACCCACTCTATTCTATGCACATGATTCTATTGAACAGACACCCAAAACACTTATAGCATAAGAAGGGAGTGTCTGAAACATCCATGTTTCGGTATGAGTGATTCAGGTGTTCTTCAACTGATCGGAATGTTTCGGGTGTCTACAACTCATCTGAGTATTTTGGGTGTCTGAGGGTTGACCGAATAATTTTACATGAAAGGAAGGAAGGAAATACCAATAATTTAACATAAATATAGCCCCTTAAAAAAGTCAAACTATTTTGTTTTCCGTTTAAATTAATTTTAATCTTAGAATAGTATATTTGTAAGAATAAAAGATATTGCCGTCTTCAGTAACTAATATTAAAAAATAAGAGCTTATAATCATTACAAGTGATTAGTCTTCAATGGCTAAGTATTAAAAAACCCAAAAGAAGACTAACATTGCATCACAGGTACTAATAAAAAAACTACACTTATACAAAGCAACATGTGCCAATATTTTAGGATTTTCCGTGTCGTCATCAAGACATCTACCTACCAACTTATTACCGTTTATTCAAGATTTGTATAAGAATACAAATCTTAAGTCAATCGCACTGCGATTAGCAGGTAGATGGCTTGACACGGAAAATCCTAAAATATTTGGCATTTTTTATTTACACCCGAATCACTCATCCCGAAACATGGGTGTTTCAGACACTCCCTTCATTTGCTATAAGTGTGTTGGGTGTCAGTGCAAGAGAGTGATGGGCAAGTGCACATTTGAATAGAGCTGCGCATGACACCCACCCTTATTTTAGGGTGCCGATCACACTCTGGTACATACATATGTACATAACACTTACATTGGATAACATTAATACTAGGTTTTTCAACTATAAAGTTGGAGAAATTAACCCTAAATACATCAAAAAAATATTCAAAATATGCCAAAACGCTTAAGCAGTAACGGCAAGGGTACACCCAAAAAATAAGTGAATCCGAATCATTTGTGAGTTTTCGGCACTTAGAGGGTGGTTGGGTGGTAAGGGTGGTTGCCTTATACTTGTAATTTGTATTCTATTCACCCAGGCACCCGAAACACTTAAAGCAAAAAAGGGTACTATTCAAAACGCTCATGTTTCGGAATAAGTGTTTCGGGTTTCTTCAACTGTTTTGCATGAGCATGTCATTGAGGATTGATCGAATAATTTTACATGAAATTATTATTTTACATGAATATAGCCTCTTCAGAAAGTTCAATATTTTAGGACTTTTCGTGTCATCATCAAACCATTTGCCTGCTACTCGCAGGGCGATTGACTTATGATATGTATTCCTGTCCTGCAATAAACGGTAATAAGTTTTCAGGTAGCTTCGTATAACGTATTTTTGTCAATATCTATCGATTTACCAAAGATTTTTTTATCGGATCTTTATTTCGCTAATCGTCTTGCGAGTAGCAGGTAGATGGCTTGATGACAATTCTATTGCACAGACACCCGAAACACATAAAAGCAAACAAGAATGTGTTTGAAACACTCATGTTTCGGGATGAGAGTTTCGGGTGTCTTCAACTGTTTTCAGTGTTTCGGGTGTCTTAAACTGTTTTGCATGAGCAAAATTTGCACTTAGTTTTGATTCTTTTTTTAATTCTAAATTAAGTCCCAATATATACAAATTATATTAAAAAAGTGAGGAAAAGGTAATGGTAAGCTTCTTACAATTTTTAATTTGTTTTTAGTTAGTTTTAACCATATTCTTTGCGTTTGAAGTTGAAAAAATAAATAACAGAATATTAATGTTATGCACTGTACCAATTCAAATTGAATAAGCTAAATTTTTGTATTCCTTAGTATGTTAACTTAGAATATGAAATCTTGGAGTTTCTTAATCTTTTCATTTGATATAGTAATAATTGTTTTATTTCTGCTTATACATACGCACAATAAAAGCTGTTCAACCCTTTCACTTGAGTGTCATACTGAAAAACTATAAGGACGCGGCAACAATTCCTCTGCCTATTAATGTGGATGCTGCTGAGGCAACGCGGTCCTCCCCCCAGCGATCGCGTGACATCTCGTCCACAGTGATTCCGACGAAGGCGTCAATATCAAACATTGACATCACCGTTGATAACAGTTTTAATGCAGTTCTAATTAGCCCAAGTATTTGCCAAGAGCGTCATACACAATCCTATGATTGTTTTGGATTGATTAGTCTTAACTCGGCGATGCAAAGCAATGTACCAAAGCCGTTCGGAGGATTCAACAAGTATTCACATCTAAATATGCCCGGCGGTCAGTGGTCCCAGGAATATAAGTTTCTAGCACAAAACATGCATTACTCTCACTACAGCAGTCTTCGCAACATGTTACGAGAAGATTGGGCGAACCACGATAAGTGTATAGCCTTAAAAAGCAATAAACGAGGTAAGAAGGTTTTACACAAATTTGTTTATACATATTTATGAGAGCTTATATGCTCAGATAACTTTCAAAATTTAAGTAACTCAAAAATGAATACATGTATTTAGATATGGTACACTTCAAAATCCCTTACTATATAAATTAGTTTGTTTGAAAAAATCACTTCAATGTCCATTTCCCAACCCCAGTATACACAGCTAAAAAGCAAGTTAGAAAAGACACGAATAAACGCTATAGTCGTATTACACACTTGCTAGTGGTTGCTAGCGCCACCTTTTGTTAAAAAAGCTTGTTTACTAACTGATGGTGACGTCACTGTCCATGTAAGGTCTGATAACCTTAATTTTTTCATAAATAGGGAAATAATGTTCTAATTTGAAAAATCTTTGGTAAATCCATCCATAAATAATAAAACGAAGACATATATTTTAATAACTAGGTGTCAAAGTTGTCAAGATTTATCGAACAGTATTGACAGCGAAGCCAACTGTCAATTTCACAGAATTTCAAGGATTAGATAAATCTTTCGGTTGCCGTGGATAACCGTCAATGTAAACTTCTTTTTCATTCATTTTAGCAGGAACTAGGCCCATTATTGATCGCGATGGGAAATGAGTAAGAGTTCTTAACTTGATTTTTTGGTTAAAAAAGCTGTGAGTACACTTTTTTGAAAAAGCCATGCTGAGACTAAATAAAAGATCCTAAATTAAAAGATCCTAATGATTGTATTTGTTGAGACACTCACGGTCTAGAGAGTTCACACTTACCTAGTGTTCAAATTTCAAATAAACTGGTTATTAAATTGTACTGTTACCGCGGCGGTGCAACACTGTCAGCCTCGCAACAGTCCCCACCTCGTGGTTCTTCTGCGTGGCTATGTTGAGCATTCCCAATTCTCTTGATGCCCAAGACCATCAAGGTACTACAGCGCTGCGTTGGTACGCATGGTCCTTCGCACGATGCACATCTACGAGCATCCCCTTTGTCCATGAATTCCGCTTGCTCGCCTCGTCGACGATAGGATCTACGTCATACACTGATATTTGAGCTGGGTTCTGTTGAACTTAGTACGTCAGGGTTGGCAAATATTCTCGAATCAATTTTTTCTATAATCTATCTGCCAGCTGACCAGCGATTCGGAAATTGGTGGCTATTCCGGTACATTTCATTGAGCCGCGTTCACGTAGACCACTCGAGATGCCAACCAAGAAGTAATTCGGTGTTATTGCTTACGAAATTTCAGATTCCAATGGAATGTATGTCAATGCTCTGGAATTTAAAGTAGATAGAAAATAGACATTCGAATACTCAACACTTGGCGTTTGGTGTGCGTGTCGGATGATGACCTTTGATGTAACTCAAGCTTGATAACGTATCCGAATCGAATAGACACCACATTCCCAAAACCTTTTCCTGTAGTTCCTCTTGTGCGGCAAGATATTTGGGTGGCGTTTCATAAAAGTAATTTAGAAATTGGATGCCGATAACCTGTTTCTCATTTCGAAACATCCGTGCGCTTGAATGCCCTTAACGCTCCTTTCTAGTTGAACCATTTGTCAACTGACTCCAAACAATCGTCAACAAAGGTCTTTCGGCAAATCGACTTTACTGCTTCAGGACGGCATTTACCGAATCAACTTCTCCACTTCGCCATAAGAACATCTAAAAAGTTTGATCAGGAACGCGAACTTTAATCTAATGAAAGGTCGATCTCTTAAGCGTATAAGCACTCCCAGCAAGGACACCAACATATCCAGTCCTATTAAAAATGTTGTATTCAGTGAAATGCTGTACCACCTCAATCTGCAACGTACAGCGGTAAGACCATTATCCATGCTTTGCAATGGGAGATTCAAATTACTCACAGCGTGTACTCCCTTCAGCGTATATTAATTTTCTGTGTGGCTCCTAGCAGAAATACGGGCACAGACTATTTTTGGATGCCGTCCTTTGAATACCGTCCTTAAAGGACACGAACTGATGTTCATGGATTGATTGAGTCAGCTGGCGGCGGAAATGTGGTCACCTTTGTTAATTGGTTATTTCGCAAAGCTATGTGTGCTACTATGGTTATAAAGTTTGGCTCTGAACCTGAACCTGCTTGAAGTGAATTGTTAATAAATGCTTATAAAAAAAACCAGTCGTCGGGCTCGTGATAAAACCTGATGTGAATCAATATGAGCTGGAGTCCTGCTTGTGGGTACTACGCGCTGGTAAACAGCGGCATATAACTATTTCCTCCACATTTAATCGGTGTGCAAACTGAGGTGGTCCATAGTTTGTCCTGAAATTGTTTCAGCCTTAAATCTTCTGGACGCCCCAGTGAAACTGTAACTCTGTTAGCACTGCTGTTACAAAAGTTTCAACTAAAAACAAATACCCACAGGCATATAAAAATAAAGTGTTGCTTACTGCACTAGTTTCATAAGGCAAATATGTTTGGTGTCAAATGGGAACAGTTTATACAAAACAATTCAATTTAATTTTTATACCCGTTACTCGTAGAGTAAAAGGATATCGTCGTTTCCGACGATTGAGCCAATGTCCGTCCATCCGTCCGTATGAACGCTGAGATCTCATGAACTATAAGAGATACACAGTTGAGATTAAGCATGAAGATTATTGAGGTTCCTACGCAGCGCAAGTTTATTTAAGCATCCTGCCACGCCCAATAATCACGAACAACTTAAATCGCTGAAATCTCAGAAACTATTAGAGCTACTTGAAATTAAGTATGTATAATCTAGAGATGCCAGCGCATCTTATGGTGGTACTCTTATCCGGACACAATTCCTCTTACGCCCTCTAAGCTCGAAAGACAGTTTTAGCATTTTGCAGAAAGGCTGAAATCTCGGTAACCTCATAATATATTATATTAAACTACTTAAATTAATGATAGAAAGTTAGGAATAAGCATGTAGGTTTTTAGGATGCTCCAAATGCCACGCGCACCCTAACGCCCACAACACCCTGAAACCGAAATTTTAGAGATGCCACTGCAACTCGACACGAGTTCATCTGGCCACGCCTACAAACCGCATAAAACTATGGCGTCCATAATATTGTAATGTATGTCTTTGTTTGACCTTATGTAACATATTTTTGTCAGTATAACAATAGGTGGCGCTTTGTGAATTTCCACTAGCAAAATTAATATTTTAAAATTGTGTAAAACAGTAACGGGTATCTTATAGTCGCGGCATTCGACTATAGCGTTTCTTCTTGTTATTTGCGTTTCAATATATAATTTCCTTAGATCAATGATGCTCCAATTAGTCTTACGTCAGAAAAAGATAAACAAAGATAAGAAAACGTGCACATATGTATTGACTCTTTTGTGTTGGTTTGCAGCTGTGCACTAAGAGAAAGAAAAACAGTTTTCGTTACAAATGATTAAATATATAGTAGGGTTTTTAAAGATCTTTATATTCGTTAACAAGGCTTTTTGTTCGAAAAAACAAAAATATTTCCTTTGAACATAAGCGTTAACCACCCCTGGTTCAAAGCTTATAGGCAGCAAGCTCATAATTTACATACATTTGCATAGGGGTTCTACCCAATAAACTTTCTTCCTGTTTTATCAACTTGCAATAACATATCTTAAAATATTGCGAATTATCCAACTGGTATATTCCTATTCCTGTCCAGCCGTACTGCCGAGAAATTTCTGTGCAAGGGATACATCAGTAAATTTTTATGGTTAATAATTTTTTTTGAACGTTCTTAAAATATAAAAAAGAGCATTTAAAAATATATAAAATATATAAAACTTGATCTGAAGAATGTTTATTTTTTATTGCTATCGTCACTTTTATTATTAAACATTTCGTAAGGATATAATAATATACAGCATCATAAATCTCTGTAACCTCATAATATATTATATTAAACTACTAAGAATGATAGTCCGGTTTGGAAAAAATTCAATGTGTCAAATATTGTACATTAGTTAAACAGGGTTGTCATGGTTTCGGAAAAATATTTTTAATATCCAACTATTTATAACCTAATATTTTGTATCAGGTTCTTCCTTTATGCTGCGGAACTATAGCTCACAAACGACGCCTTCGAGGTCTTCCGAAACATCTCAAACCTTAAAAAAGTCGGTTTCGACAGGCACATCTGAAGATGTGAGACTGGGTGAAAAACGTAAACTTAAACAAGCGATTAAGGAATATGGAGCGGTAATTGTTGTCTTCCATGTAGGGATTTCATTAATTTCGCTCTGTGGTTTCTATGCACTTGTATATAGGTAAGCTTTTAAAAGTAATTATAACTAATTTGCCACCCCTAATTACTAAAATAAATAAGGCACACAAGAAGTTTAATTGTGTAAAGACAAAGTTGATTATTCTTAAATGACCGGATCTGCCCTGCCCTTACAAAAAAGGCCACACAGAAGCCGACGGCATTTCGATCTCTCTGCTTACAAAAATAGTAGAATATAAGAGATAAGTAAGCGAGAACAGAACGAAAGCTCGGTAGATCAGGTTTTAATAACTCCGTAAGAATATTTTTCTTTATAATTTGTTTACAAAATTTCATCAAAACAAAGATTAGCCGAAAGATGAAAATGTCAGGGATTACAACCCTAGGTAGCCCTAGTTCACAATGTTACACGTTAACCTTTTTCAACGTGTTTTTCTTCTAAAGATATATTTTTAATCGTAGAGTAAAAGGGCACGTCTCCTGTCTAAATGAACGCTTAGACCTCAGGAGATACAAAGTTTAGATATTACATGCAGATTCTTTAGATCCCTACGCAGAGCAAGTTCATTTCAGCAACATGCAACGCCCACTCTAACGACCACAAATCACGAAAAACTAAAGCCGCTGAAATCGCAGAAACTTTAAGAGCTACTTGAAATCTTGTTTAATCTTGAGATGCCAGCGCATCTTATGGTGTTCCATTATCCGGCCGCACCAACTCATACGCCCACCAAGCTCGAAAGACGGTTTTTGAATTTTGTAAAAAAGCTTATATATCGGTAACTATAAGTAGGAGGAAGTTGGGATTAAGCATGTAGGTTTTAATGATGCTCCAAATGCTTTTCCATCTTGCCACGCCCACCCTAACGCCCACAAAATCCGGAAAAACATAAATCCAAAAATCTCAGGAACTATAGAGCTAGAAAGATGTGCTTAAGAATGCGTTTTTAAGAGTTGCCACTGCAACATGCCCCGACTTTTTATCCGGCCACGCCCACTCTAACGCCCAAATACCGCGAAAAACTGTGACGTTTGACTTTGTATAATATATGTTTCTCAATATCTATCGATTTACCAAAGATTTTTTAAATCGGAACACTATTTTGTGATTTAAGAAGAAATGTAGGTTATAAGGCCTGACATGGACAGTGACGTCACCATATGTGGTGGCGCTTTGTCCATTTTTTACTAGCAAATCATCGTTGAGATATAAGGAACTATAAGAGTTGGAAAGTAGGCATTAAGAATGTATAGTCTTGAGATGGCAGCGCATATCGAGGTGACAACATCATCTGTCCACGTCTACTCAAACGCCCAAAATACGCGGAAAACCAGAAATGCGAAAATCTCGGAGACTATAAGAGCTAGGAAGTTATGTTTAGGAATATGTACTGCAGATATGCCACTGCAGCTGGACAGGAGTTTTTATCTGGCCAGGACCACTCTAACGACCACAAACCTTGAAAAACTGTTGTAACCACAATATTAAACTGTATGTTTCCGTTTAACGTTGTCTAACATTTCTGGTTTATATCTATCGATTTAACAAAGATTTTTCAAATCGGAACAATATTTCGCTAATTATAAAGAAATGTAGGTTATCAGATCAGAACATGGACAGTGACGTCATCATCTGTAATGGCGCTTGGCCCATTTCTATTGGTAAATCATCGTTGAGATCTTAGAAATTATAAGAGTTAGAAAGATGCCATTATAAATTTATAGTCTTGAGATGCCAGAGCATCTCGAGGTGATAACATAATCTGACCACGCCTATTCAAACGCCCAATAAACGCAGAAAATCAGAATTGCGAAGAACCAGAACTATATACATATTAGAGCTAAAAAGTTGGGCTTGGGAATACGTATTTCACGCCGACTCTAACATCCACAGCCCGTGGAAAACTGTGGCGTCCAGAATATAAAAATGTATGTCTTCGTTTGGACTTGTATACCATTACTAGTTGATATCTATCGAATAACCAAAGATATTTCATATCGTGACATTATTTCGCTATTTATTTCACGCTGCTATTTCTCTAACGCCCACTAACCGTGAAAAACTATGGCGTCCAGAATATAAAAAATGTATGAATTCGTTTGACCTTGTATAACATTTCTGGATTATATTTATCGATTTAACAAAGATTTTGCATTCGGAACAATATTTCGCTAATTATGAAGAAATTTAGGTTATAAGGCCTCACATGGACAGTGACGTCACCATCTGTGGCGGCGCTTTGTCTATTTCTACTAGCAAATCATCTTTGAGATATCAAAGATAAGACCTATAAAGTTCGGATTAAGAATGTAGTTTCTAATGATGCCTCCTCTGATATTTTTGAACCATCTAGACCAAAAATCGAGAACTTAAAACGTAAAAATCTCGGAAACTATAAGAACTAGAAAGTAAGGATTGCGACACATATTCACTACTACAAATTTTTTATGTTGGAACATTATTTTGATATTAATTGTTGCTCATAAGGACTCTCATGGGCAGTGACTTCACTATCAGTTAGAAAACATGCTTTTTCTGAGAAAAGGGTGCGCTTTGTCAATTTCCACTAGCAACATTAATTTTTTTAAATTGTATAAAACCGTAACGGGTAGCGTTTCCTTTGGTTCAGTTTGTATTGTTTATCATAACCTTATTGGGAAAATTTTTCTTAAGTACCTTTTTATACCAGTTACTCGTAGAAACAAAACAAAAAATGAGAAAATCTGGGGAACTATAAGACCTTCAATGTTATTCTGAAGAATGTGCTACTGTAGTTCGACACAAGTTTTCGTCCATGCGTACTATAACGCCCACAACCACTGTGGCGCCAAAAATATTTTATTGAATGTCTTCGTTTGATTTTGTATTTAATTTTTAGTCTATCTATAGATTTTTCAATCGTTTTTATAGCGGTTCTGCTTGTTTTTGGTTGGAATTGGTATGAATAGTAATTTTTTCTTCTTTTTTGTATTGTGTGTGTTTTTTTACATGGGGTGGATGAAACATTTTTGCTTGAGATTCATCCTGTTTAGATTTGAATTATAAAGCATCTTACCCGGTCTGGTTGATGTCACAACCTTTGAATTTATTTTGTACTTGTTCATGCTTCAATCTTGCTTTCTCTTTGGCTTTAATTTGCTTGATCGCTACAAACACTGTATCTCCCTGTTCGTATATAACTGGGTGCATCCTAGATTTATTGCGGTTAACGTTGGTCTATTTTTGTTTACGTTCAATTCAGCCTCTTACCTCTTCTAACATCTTTCGCCTACAAGCTTAAAAGCCTTGGTAGTTAATTCTCGAAGTGCGGTCAAGGAATTAGTCTAACAGTTTTTTTTATTTGTCAGGGAGTGGATCGAGTTGTTGCACAGATCTGCAGCTATGTGTACTAATTCTAGGTTCTTGAAAGTGGGGTACCCGTGCCTTAAGAATCCATAGGTTTGTAGAAACGTAGAATGGAATCTTTCGATCTGTCCGTTACCCTCACTTTACTGAGACAGTTCGATCTGCAGTCTTCGCAGCTAGTTAAGAACTGTCAGGCATAGAAGTCCCCTTTCATTGTCGGAAACCAAAATTGTAGGCACGGTGAAATAGTGCAGGACCTCGTGTAACGAAAAACTTGGATTCCAGAGGGAAGAGTTTGCCAAATTTTGAAAATTTGTCTATGCAGCTCAGATAAATCCTCTTTTCCAGCGTTAAAACGTAACGTCTATATATAGTATTTCGCACGGGTAGTTCAGGATTGAGGTTGGTTGCAATATGAGTTGTTAGGGTGTCGGTCATATTTGAACGTTTTACAGTATTCCCAATAGGTCACCTGATAGGTCATGATTTTTCGATAATCTGAACCATTTAACAAATAGTCGACTAGACATACGAGGTGTGTTCAAAAAGTAAGGTGACTCTTCAAATTTCGCGAATTTCAAATTTTTCGATTATCGATTTTTTTGTTTTGTTATATTGGTACACTCTTCCCTAACATCTGTACCAAGTTTCAATGGAACATCCTCTTTTGTTTGGTTGTGGGGCGTAAAGTTAAGTTATTTTGGAGCTCGGCGATTTTTGCTATCGAAAATATGGATCAAGGATTTGGATTTTTTGGAAAACAACACCACATAATGCCTCGACCATATTCGGTTTGGCCCCATGTGACTTTTTCTTGTTCCCAAAACTGAGATAATCGAAATTTGAAAATTTGAAATTTGAAAGTACCTTTTTTGAACACTCGTATAACTTAAAGGTTTCGATAATCAAAATTTGAAATTGAATTTGGGTCTCTTTTGATCGTAGATATCTGTAGGGTTCTAGGTAAGTGCGGAATATTAGTTCCATTGATAACTGATGGATTTAGGTACTTCTGTAGAAAAGTAGCTAGATCTGATTAAAAAATTACTACATAAAACCAAGTGGGGGTACTTTGAGAAAATGATTCTAAGGCTTTAACCTTTGGAAATCTACAAGAAAACTAAAACGACAGCCTCTCAGAAGCATTCCCATAAGGAAAACTGATGGTACATGGTGCAAATCAGACTCAGAGATTTCGTTAGTTTTTGCCGACGAGCTAGAGAAACGCTTTCAGCCATTTAACGTTACGATCCCTAAGGATGTCGCAAATACACTGTCCTTCCTAGCGCTCCTTCTCCGGATGCAGTCCGCATTCAGCACATAAGACCTCATAAGGATAGCGCCCTCATTCAGAAGCTGCATTCCAGCAAGGCGCCAGTGATTCGATGGCATTAATAGCAGGCTTACCAAGGCTTTGCCTATAAATGGAGTCCTGTTCTCTTTTTCAACTCAATGTTACGTATCCAATGTTACGTAATCCAATTCCCCTCCCAATGGAAGTGTGCTGTAATAACGATGATACCAAATCCAGGGAAACCGGAGAACCTTGTCGATTCATTTAGTAGGATTATGGGAGTAAGAACCGTTCAGGACGCCATTCCCGCCTGCTAGCTTGGCTTTAGGCATAAACATGGGGTGCCTTAGCAAGTCCATCGAGTTCTTCACCAAATATTTAATGACTTTGAGAATAAGCAATATAGCTCTGCTATCTTTCTCGACGTAAAGGACGGCTTAATCGCGTCTGGGATGACGGCTTGCTGTATAAGCTAAAATCTCTTTTTCCGACTGGACAATTCCTCTTCCAAACGCACTCTTGGCCACCTACGCCGATGACACTTCGATTCTTGTGCAGTCTTGCCGTATCGAAGCATCAAGAATCACCCAGGAATTTCTGGACTTATACGGCAAGTGGACTAACAGGTGGAACATAGCCATAAATGGCAGGAAGTCATAGCTCTACTGTTTTACTTGGAGAGTGCAGTCCCTTCCTGAGGTTGAGCGTTACGACGTTATCATCCCACAATCATCCCAGGCGCAGTAATTATACCCGTTACTCGTAGAGTAAAAGGGTATACTAGATTCGTTGAAAAGTATGTAACAGGTAGAAGGAAGCGATTCCGACCCTATAAAGTATACATATTCTTGATCAGGATGAAAGCGAAGACGAATGAGTCATGCCCGTCTGACTGTCCGTCTGTCCGTATGAACGCTGAAATCTCAGGAACTATAAGAGATACAAAATTGAGATTAACCATGAAGATTCTTGAGGTCCCTACGCAGCGCAAGTTTATTACAGCATCCTGCCACGCCCACTCTAACGCCCACAAATGGGGAAAAACTAAAATTGCTGAAATCTCAGGAACTATTGGAGCTAGAAAGTTGGAACTCAGAAAGTATTTTATAGTGGTACTACTACGTCCACTCTAACGCCCACAAAACCTGAAAAACCAAAAATGCAAAAATCTCGAAAAGAGCTAAAAATTTTGCTTAGGAGCACTTATTTAAGAGGTGCATCTGCAACTTTCCACGAAGTTGCATCCGGCCACGCCCTCTCTAACGCCCACAAACCACGGAAAACTGTGGTGCCTATAATATTATTATGAATGCCTTCGTTTGACCTTGTATAACTTATTTCTGTTAAAATCTATTGATTAACCAAAGATTTTTCAAATCGGAACATTATTTCGCTATTTATAAATAAATTAAGGTTATAAGCCCTCACATGGGCAGTGACGTCACTATAAGCATACTCAACATACTTCCTCTGACAATAGGTGGGGCCTTGTGAATTTCCACTAGCAAAATAATATTTAAAAATTTTGTAAAACAGTAACGGGTATCTAATATTCGCGGCATTCGACTATATCGTTTGCTCTAATTATTATTATTATTATTCTCTAAACTATTTTTTAGCTTTTGACATATTTTAAATATTGCTCCTTATATTAACATATTTATTTTCTATTGCGTTATTACAGTGGAATAAACTTTGTACCTGTTCTGGAATTTCTTGAAATCTCGTCACAATCGATTAAGGAAAAAGTGGCCACAGGAAGCACGTTCATTATAGCATATGCCGTACACAAAGTCTTTGCCCCCGCTAGAATTAGTATTACATTAGGTTCTGTACCGTTTCTTATACGCTATCTAAGATCTAAGGGATTCCAAATCCCAGGGACTAAACACAATTAACTTCTGTTTCTGTCATCTGCGATCCCATGTAAACTACATTTTTAATATTTCGATTAACCAAATAAAGTTCAATATGTACATTTTTATTTTATTTATGAAATTAATTTTTGCAGGTCTTACACCCCTAACTTGTAGATTAAAAAGGCATATTGTAGCATTGATAAAAGAAATTCAATTTCAAATCAATCAGCTATCTCGTCATCAAGCGACAGACCGAGTGAAGTTAGCTCATTCATCAAATATCATTTATTTTGCACTGTTCTATGCAACCTAAGAACTAGCTGACTTTTTTATTGTTTCTTTACACCTACTCTAGTTAACGTAAGCATTTTGTACCACTAAATACTGATAGTTCAATAAGTCATCTCAGTCTTAGAGCATTCAAAAATGGTTCTCATTCAACATCGTAAGCATCAAATACTGTCGCTGTCAGATTCTCATTTTGCGAAGTTACAAGTTCCTGTTAAATCAAAACACAGCAGATAGGTTATGGTAACTATGGTACTATATGGTAACAGATATCCTGTGACTAAACGCCCTATCGTCAGTCACTTAAGGATCCACCATTTCGGCACGTTGAATCGACGTCCATTTGAGAGGCGACGAATAAACAGAATCCGAAATAAACCTCCAATAGCTGTGCACAATTTGGCACGACTCGTTCCATTCACCACGCATGTGAGAAATCTTAAGTTTTTCAAACATTACGAAATGGCTTAAAAATTGATTAAACTTGGGAAAGCCACTGAAGTTGAAAGAGCAACGGTCTGCAAACGGCATTGGAAAGTGAGCTTTGCCGGCAGAGCGGCATCATCTACTCTCATTCGCCTGGCTTTATATATAAGTGAAATTAGCAATTATTATTATTAGTATACTAAATTCGTTGAAAAGTATGTAACAGATAGAAGGAAGCGTTTCCGACCCTATAAAGTATATATATTCTTGATCAGGATCAATAGCGAAGTCGATTGAGCCATGTCCGGCTGTCCGTCCGTCCGTATGAACGCTGAGATCTCAGGAACTATAGCAGATACAAAGTTGAGGAACAGCGCAAGTTTATTTCCGCATACTGCCACGCCCTCTCTAACGCGAACAAATCGCTGAAATCTCGGGAACTATTAGAGCTAGAAAGTTGAAATTCAGTATGTATAAACTTTGGATGCCAGCGCAGCTTTTAGTGGTACTATTATCTGGCCACACCCACCCATATGCCCTCCAAATGCGAATTGTTTTTTTTTCATCTAGCCACGTCCACCGTAACGCCCACAAAACCCGAAAAACCAAAAATGCAAAAATCTAAAGAACTAAAAGACCTAGAATGTTAGGCTTAGGAATATGTATTTAAGGGATGCCACTGCAACCTCCCACGAGTTTTTATCCGGCCACGCCCACTCTAAATCGTAATCGGACCGTTGCCGTATGCAGACGTGTATTTTTATTGTGCTCCTGGGAAAAAAAATAAAGTATTCAATAATATCCAAAAAAGTGCAGTGACTGGTTTCGTAAACCAAAACAACGCGAAAAGACGCTTTTAGCAATGAAAATCGCTAATGTTTATATTGATTAATTAATTAATTAATATAAAACAAAACACTAATTCTAACAAACTCAACGTCGATCGCAATGAGTTCAAACGACGTTCGCACACAACGTCAACGTGAGCAAGACGAGTGACGGCTCTCAGTACAAAGAAACAACGCTTACTTCTCTTTCAAAGCAACCGAAAGTAATGCAAGCTCTTCCCAAACACGGTCAATTACCCCCAACTTGACCGAATTCTTCAACGTAGAGAGCGAGAGAGCGCGTTCTTGCTCCCCCTCGCTACCATCGATGTCTCTGAAGCCAAAGAGCGCAGCAACTAGCACCGCAATTTCTTTGACAACGTTAACCATAACAACAACAACAACCGCAACTGTAACGACAGCGCGATTAACGACGTCATCAGCTAGCAGCGCAAACATTAATACTTCTGCCGCTGTGCTGCCCGAAAAAGAGAACAAAAACAAAGAAAATATTAAGCCGGCTGTGCAGACTGGTTTGGATCGCTACATCCAAATCAAAAGGAAGCCAAGCCCCCTAAACTCGCAACGCAAAATAACCCGTGGCAATGCTAACATAGCTGCAATAGAAACGCCCTCTAACTCAAACCGTTTTAAAATCTCGGCAGACTATGAGGATGATGCCGAATCCACTGAAGTCGAAAAAAGGAAGACTCCGCCAATTTACATACGAGAAAAAATTTTCTTACTGTAAAAAAAGTCTTACTGTAAACTGCGTCCAGTGTGTGTAGTTTGTGGTGAGCTTCATGACTCCGCACACTGCCCAGCGAGCAAAGATGACCACAACTCAAAAAAGGGCGGCAACTGCGGTGGAAATCACACTGCTAACTATAGAGGTTGCCCAGTTTATAAGGAGCTGAAAAGTCGAATCCACCAGAGGGGAATTACTGCCCGCACCCAAAATAAACAGTTGATAGCCTCCAGGTCAAACCCTGAAGTCTTCTTCTCGACTGCAGCCAGATCCTCACTAGGACCCATAAACTCTGCCAAAAATGTTACATACATGTACCTTTGAAGCTATGATATTCAGTCTACAACAAAGCCTTACGGAGTTTATGTCGTTTATGCGCATAGCAATGCAAGATCTGATGCGAAACCAAAATCTATTAATACAAATGCTGGTTTCACAACAATCCAAATAATGACTTCCCTACGAATATCTACGTGGAACGCTAACGGCGTTTCGCAACATAAGCTCGAGTTCGCGCAATTCCTACTAGACAATGAAATCGACGTAATGCTGCTTTCAGAAACACATCTTACAAACAGATACAATTTTCAACTACGAGGATATTCATTCTATGGAACAAACCATCCAGATGGTAAAGCACACGGCGGGACTGGAATTTTAATCAGGAGCCGTATTAAGCACCATTATCATACGAAATTTGCTAAAAACTACCTACAGGCCACATCCATAAATATACACCTAAATACTGGCAAGCAATTAATGCCAGCAGCCGTATACTGCCCCCCATATCCAGGAACATGGGATCAACCATTAAAACTGACCTCACATAAAACCAATTGGGTTAAGTACAGGAAGTATATTAGCTCACACATTGAGCTAAGTCCTCACCTCAGCGATGAAGCCACCGTAGACAGTTTTGTTAATTCACTGGAATCTGTACTCGTCTCTGCAGCTCGAGTTTCAACACCTCATACTATAAACGCACAATGCGATCAAAAGAAGTCAAATCTACAAATCGAACAGCTCGTCCTCGAAAAGCGACGCTTACGTCGAGCATGGCAATTTCACAGAAACATATGTCCACTGCCGCTACATTGAGCAATTGTCAACTAATAGTACAAAACACTCAATATGGAGAGCTCACCCAACTCTGAGCTCACCGAAAGAAACCGTGATGCCTATTAGAAATTCCACGGGCGGCTGGGCGCGCAGTGACGCAGACCGAGCCAGCACGTTTGCCAACCACCTTAAAAATGTTTTCCAACCAAATCCTGCCACTAATGCGTTTACTTTGCCGACTCTATCATATGAGCCCCAGCTTCAACATGGGCCAATTGAGTTTCGCCCAAACGAAATCGTAAACATTATCAAAAGACAACTGAATCCGAAAAAATCCCCGGGCTGCGACCTCATAACTCCCAAAATGATCATTGAGCTCCCATACTGCGCCGTTTGCCCTCTCACCCAGCTCTTTAATGCCATCGCAAAACTTGGCCACTTTCCAGTGAGATGGAAAAAGTCAATTATAATAATGATAGCAAAGCCGGGGAAAGACCACACTATCCCCACGTCATATGGACCTATAAGCCTACTCTCTTGCCTATCTAAACTCTTTGAAAAATGCCTAATGACTCGGATAAACACGCACCCGTCACACCAATTTGGGTTTCGTGAAAAGCATGGAACAATTGAGCAGGTCAACCGGAGAACATCACAAATTCGAAACGCTTTCGAAAAACGAGAGTACTGTACTGCCATATTATTAGATGTCTCTCAAGCATTTGATAAAGTCTGGCTAGAAGGTCTAATGTACAAGATCAATACAATGCTCCCCTACAGCACCCACAAGATTTTAGAGTCTTACCTTCACGACAGAAAATTTGTTGTGAGGTGCAACACTGCTATATCTGATGATTACACTGTTGGAGCTGGAGTTCCTCAAGGTAGCGTGCTAGGGCCAACACTATACGTCCTCTACACAGCAGACATCCCGACAAGCACACGTCTAACCACATCTACGTTTGCCGATGACACAGCTATTCTTAGCCGTTCTAAATGCCCGATTCAAACTACTGCGCAGCTAGCTCGTCATATGGTCGATGTTGAAAAATGGCTATCAGATTGGCCAATTAAAGTGAACGAATTAAAATGCAAACACGTTACGTTCACTCTGACCAGGCAAAACTGCCCGCCGATTACGTTAAACAACAGTCTACTCCCACAATTAAACGAAGTAAGTTACCTAGGAGTACATCTCGACAGAAGACTCACATGGCGCCGGCACATTGAAGCCAAAAGAACACACCTAAAGCTAAAAGCCAGCAGCCTTCATTGGCTTATCAACGCCCGGTCACCTCAGACACCGCGACTTAAACATTCTACCAGTAAAAGAAGTGATTGTAGAACAAAAGGTAAAGTACTTCACCAAGCTATCGGTGCACGCTCACCACCTGGCGAGAGGTCTAACAAGGTTGAGTAACCAATCACGCCTTCGTCGCAATGACCTACTCACCCAGCGACGGACCTGAGGGACGCGCAACCGGAATGCAGTCTTAGTATACTCTTAGTTAAATTTTAATGTTAAGATTCGTCAACTTATTGTTAGTCTAAAAATTAAGAGTAGATTCAATAAATAAAAGCAAAGCTATAACAAAAAAAAAAAAGCCCACTCTAACGGCCACAATCCGCGGAACACTGTGGCGTCTATAATAATATTATGAATGCCTTCGTTTTACCTTGCATAACTTATTTCTGTTAATATCTATCGATTTACCAAAGATTTTTTCAAATCGGAACATTATTTCGCTATTTATAAAGAAATTAAGGATATAAGGCC